ATGTCTGTCAGGATCGTTGAGCTCGTCTCCTCCGCTCTTCAGTCCATTAAATAAAACTGTTTGCTCTGATGACTCAGACGATTTTGAGCCAGTTAGTGGCCAGGTGCCTTTTTCACTCTTCCCTCCTTGTACTCCCTCCCTCTTTTGTGCCGACGTCTCTCTTTTTCCTTTTCCTCTCCCTCTCTTTCTCTGTTCTGTCCGGCCATCTTGTTTCTGTCCTTTTCTGCTCCCTCACTTCATCTTCCCCCTCCTTCCTCTCCTCCTCACCTATGTCCCTACCATCTACTTTGACCTCCCAATTCTCCGCTCTCATTCGATTCTCCCCACCTTCTCCCTATCCCTCCCTAACCTCCCCCCGTCTACCAGCCTCCACTCTCATCATCTGTCTCGCTCTCTTCTCCTCCCTTCTTAGAGTTATTGCCCCCCTGTCTCATTTCTTTCCTTCGCTCCATGCTTCCCTCCCAGTTCTCTCCTCTCATTGCCCTCATCTCCTCTCCTCTGCATGGTCATCACTATGACAGTTTCCCTCCAGCCTTCGTCTGGTGAGAGTGAGCTGTAGCTAAGCAGCCAATTTATTATTCACTGTCTTCTCGCCACGTTTCCTGTGCTTGTCAACACCTTCTTTCTCTGCTGTCAAATGCTTTCTACCTTTTCCCCCTTTTTAATACTCCACAGTAGTCTAACCCAATCCTTTTCTTTCCTCAGCCTCCATCCATTCATCCAGGCAGCCATCCCAATCTAGTAAAAGGCCCATTGTGTAATGTTTAATAAATGATGAGAGAGAGGTATGCTGGCAGTCAGAATGATCCACAGTACCCCAGACAGGACTGCGTAGCAGCACAGACGATGTCAGGCTTAATGTCTTGGAAGAGTTTGGCGCTCGGCCTAATGTGATGAACCTGTTGCTGTTTAGTGTTATTGCGCTGCAAATGCAGGTCTGAAGCTATTTCAGTTTTCCTTGTCTAAACCACAGAGACGTTAATGCCTCACTTACTTTGTCTGTTTGCGTTTGTCATTAGGACACCTTAAAGACTTATGAATTACATTCCTTAAAAATGATTGGTGATGTTTTATGGCAGATCTGGATATGTGTATCCTAAACCCAAGGCTACCTTTCTTCTGCAACGCTTAATATTACAAATCTGTAAATTCCGAATAATTTCCAAATAATTTTCTGATAAATTTTCAAAAAAAAAAAAGGTTTTATAGAGTGATCACTTCGTACACTTTCAGTTCATTCCAAATGCTAAGCCATTATAACCTTTAGTCTTTGAGTCAGTTCATAGCAGGTCAGCTGAACAATAATTTGAAATGTGTCTACAGACAAACATAAAATCAAACATACCGTAAAACTCCCAATAAAAGCAGGGTCCCAAATAGACGCCTGTCCCCAATAAGGGCAGAGTTAGCTCAGTGATTTAAACAAATAAACGCCTGGGCTATTATTAGAAGTTTTACAGTATATAAAGAAGAAACATTCCAATGATAGATTTACGATGAATAACTATTTACCTGGATTTAAACTAACTAACTAAAAAGCAGTCTCAGAATTTTGTCTTTTCCTGTAATTTGTACTAAATGTAAAAGTTATTTCCAGGTTAATTTCCAAGAAAAAAGCATTACTTGTTTCAGAAAGTACCCCAAAACAACATTTGTTTATGTTTAAGGAACAAAGTCCTTTTGTAGGCGTACTGTAATTATGACTCTCATCCGTGGTTGCGTGACATTCACAGAGAGAGGAGATCAGGGTGGTTGAATGGATCTGCAAATGTTGGTTTTTAACAGAAGATTAGGAGAGAGGAGAGAGCGTTAACGGTTGTTTCACATTTACTACGGACAGTTAATCTTTTCTCTTACAATGATCACGGCCGTTCCCTAACCCTTTCACTTATTATTTTAAACATAACAACAAAGGTCTCCTAACCTTGAAAAAGTAGTCATTTTAACCCAATCCATGATCTTTCTCTTACCTTGCCTACCTAACCAGCAACTGTGATGTGTCATCATTTTGGAAGGAAACAATGAATGGTGTCTTTCTGTTGATAGTGCTGATAGAGTCAGGAAATGTGTTTTATTCTGGTGGATACAAACAGAATATTTTGTTGTTTCATTTTGCATTAAACCACAACCTTATGACCATATGAAGTGAGGAATTTTGGGCACGTGATAAGAGGTGGTAGTAATCTGGGATGAGATTGTAAACGCCGTCTCTGCTAAAGGACTGTGTCTGACCTTGAATATGAATGTCCTCCATCTTTCTCCGCCTGTCCACTGCCTCCCGGTCGATGACTTTAACCCCTTCCCAATCGATGTCAAGACCTCACAGACAGCTGGTGTCGTGTTTCACTCTGTTTTTACAAGTGATGCTACCACTCAAGTCTTCTTCTCTAGGCTTGATCCCACTTATTATTGCTAGCTGAAGTTCTGTACTCAGCTCAGCTCCTTTGCTAAAGAAGCTTGTGCGATATGGTTGGAGCTCCCAAGATGAAATACATTTAACCACTGATTAATCAAAAAAATTACCAACAGATTAATTGATCATGAAAAGAAACGTTAGTTGCAGCCTTACAACAGTCTATTTATCCTAAAATGAAAGTGATATATTTTAGTTTAACCCCCAGAACCGTTCAGGGTTGTAGGAGGTTTGCTGTCTTTGAGTGCCTGTTAGTTCAGGGGGTTCAGGGTTTTTGAGAAACTTTAATAGAGTTCTGTCTTATTCTGCTTTATTCTGTTCGACAAACCAATATCCCGAGTAGGGCTGCACAGTTAATCAAAATATTATGGAAATCGCAATATAGCCTAGTGCAATATCCAAATTGCAGAAGCTAGAATGTGTGACAAAACAGCATTATAATGAAGTAGTGTAGTGCTGCAGAGATGTTTGTTTTTGATTGTATCACACACTTTCCCTCAGAAGATTGAGTTTTCCCATGTGTCATGTAATTAAAAAATGTCCGTGTATATTTAGAAGGTGTTGCTAACTACTGTTGCCAAGGTCATTATATTATATTCAATAGTATTTATTCACAGATCGCATTCTATTCCCCCCAAATAAGTTCATTCACTGCTGTTTGAAACCTTGGTATTTAGAAAATGTCAACTATGCAGAGGCTGATCAAAACGGACTGTTTTCCAGCTTTTCCACTGTGGGGTTTTTCAGTTTATTCGTTGGACTTTCAATGTGTTTGATCAACCGAAGGCTTTCTCTCCACTGCTAGATGTGTGTGTAACCCCTCCACTGAAGTTAAACATCATCACTACAGCAAATCACGCTCCCTTATCTCGTCTATTCAGCCGAGCTTTCAGAATTTAATCAGCATGTCTTGTGTGTCGCTGCTGTAGTGTGTATTTAAAAACCATTTTCTCTCTGTTGCCACTCTCATACTTGTGGGTGTTTGTGCATGCGTGTGGCTGGTTGTGTGTGAAATGTGTTTGTTAGTGTTTGATTTTGATTAGAGTCTGCTGTTAGATCTGTTTCTTCCTGCGCAGCTAGAAATGAGAAAGAGGAGGTGTGTGTGTGTGTGTTGGGGTGAGCTCTTGCATACCCAAAAATGTCCCACACCATTACACACACACACTCACACACCTGCCCTGCAGTGCTCCTTTTGCTCACTTTCTTTGTCTATATGCCTCTCTTCTCTTCTTCATTTTCTTTCTTTCTTCCTCTCCACACTTCAGTGTCTCACACCTCCTCCTCCTTCCCTTTCTCTTGTTTTCACTCTGCATTGATCCTCAGCGTGTAGACTACTGCAGCCAGTAGCTTTTAATGAAAACCATGGCCTAATGGCTTTATCATTGGCCTTGATGACCTCAGCTCAGCCACAGCGATGGCTTGGCTGTAAATTGTTTTCTTAACTAAAGCCACGTGAGGAATTTCAATAAGGGCAGCAGTCGATGGCGTCGGTGCAGCCTGCCAATCTCGACAGCAGGGTGTTACATGGGGGGCAGCAAGGGGTTAAGCGTGACTGACAGAGGAGTACATGTGCGAGGTGAACTGTGTTGTGGACTGGCGTCATTCCCCTGGTTGTGTTGTCGTAGAGGGTGTGGGTGGCCTGGTTGTGTATGTGCGTGTAGCCGACGGATTCATCAGCAGGCTCGAGAGCAAAAACATGTCTGATACAGCGTCTTGACGCCGCGCTGACATACGCGAGGCGGCGTTTCTGCAGATGTAGTGGTGTCAAATATACATGGCTTTGTCCATGACCCACCCGCTAGCAGAATAATTACACACACACAGACACACACAGACACACACAGACACACACCACCTGTCAGACTTGTGCATGTAGAGATAAAGCAGCAAATACACTCTCCACAGTCAGAGCGTTTGCCTGCTGAATAGCAAAGGGGGACTGATCCGTCTAGCCCTCCCTTATCTCCCCTCACCTCTTGCACTCTTCATCTCTCTCTATCTCTCTTTCTCGACCCCTCCTCCCTCCCACCATCTCCCCCTCACTTTGCCTCCCTTGGCGTTTGTGAATCCTCCTAATTTGTCTCTGTCCCTTTTTTCATCTTCTCCTCCCCCTTTTTCTCCTCTTCCCGCTCGTAATTTTCTCATTCCCTCTACCTCGTCTCCCTCGCTCTCTCTTGAGTTTTGTCCTCCCCTCTCCCTCTCTGTCTCTGGCTTTTCCTGTGCAACAGTGTGCAATCCCTCTTTCCCCACTAGACAGACAAAGCGAAAGAGCGACTGAGACGAATAGGAAGGGAAGAGGGAGCAGAAAGAAGCAGAGACAGAGAGGCAGATACGTAAAGAGGCACAGAGGAATTGATGGAATGACAGTCTGGTGGCAGGGGACAGAGAGAGAGAGAGAGAGAGCGGGGGTTTGCATGCTAGAGAGAGAGATAGACGGGATGTAAAATAGGCAGCTTCAGTGACAGCGTAGACAAAGGTAGCTTCAGAGTGCATGTGCGCCCTCTATTTCATTCACACTCTCTCTCTCACACACGCACACACATCCTCTCTCTCTCTCTCACTCTCTCACTCACTCACACAGACACACGCACACACCCTCGAGCAGAAGAAGCAGAGCTGTGTGGGTGTGAGGCAGCATGAGAAGTGATATCTGTACTTCCACAAATACAGTTGGATGATGGACTAACTTAATTAGAACATACACACCTACTGTACGTACACTAGCACACCTTGATTATAGGCGGGCAGAAACACACACGCAAGAGCACGCACAACCTGTCTGCGGCCAGAAGTCAACATGGGTCTTGTGGTGGGAACCTTTTCCATGCAAACCAAGCAGGTGAACTACCGCAAAGGTAAGAATTTCTTTCTTTTCTTTCCTTCTTTTTTTTTTTTAAAGAACAAATTTCTTTGTCTATCACATCCAGGATGTGTGTTTTCTTGAATGTGCGCACATGCTGTGGCTGTCATTTGAGAGGAGCACCTGTCATGCTGCGTGTTTTTTGCCTTGATGGTGGAGTCATGTATGTTTGCTCTCAGAGTCATGAATATTGCACAAGAAGTGCATTATGGGAATGAGCTGAACGTATACAGAGCATTGATGTAAAGTTGGCAAAAAAAAAGTCCTTCATTATTGGTTTATCATGCAATCTCCAGGCCATCTGTGCTTTGGATTTAGGAATAGAAAAAGGAAGCGTGTGTGTGTGTATGCGCGTGTCCATTTGTGTGTGTGTACACAGCCTTTGCCATTGGGGGATGTCTATAAAAGGTGATGGTATTTACCCCTGTCTACTCCCCAAACCAATCTGCTTCCTGTCTACCCTGCTACTGTTTGACAGGAGGAAACTGGCACTGACACTTGGCGCATGCAAATGCTAATGTTTGTGTGTGTTCACAGACACAAATAAGTCTGCGCAGCTTTGTCCAAGAAAATATGTATGCACATAATTCACTAATGTAGGAGTGTGTAAGGGGGAGTGCATTTTGTGTGTGTGGCAGCTGTGGCAGCGTTGTGTGTATGTGCACAGTGAATCAGTGTGGGTGTAATCCGTCAGCCTTTGGCCATGGTCTGTCCTGCGTCTGTTGACCTCAAACCTGATGGTTATCGCCAGCAGACACAGAGCTGCATTGCACAGACTGAAGACACAGTAAACAGGAGTCAGATCCAGTTTCACCACATTTTCACATGCAGGAAAAGATGCAGAAATTCCTTACTGGACCATTAACCAGTCAGTTAGTTAGTGAGATCATGTAAAACAGACTGTGTGTTACATATGCTGTGACAAACACTGTGGAGGCGATGTAAGTGATGTAAATTATGTGCTGTGAATGTTGTGTAAGTCCCTCTGGAAAATGCCTTTCAGCTGTCTATATTTTCTGTGTTATACCTGTTACCAGCAGTTAGACCACACACAGTGTTTGAAATAGCTGGAAAAACACTTTAGAGACCCTATAAATGGTCTTATAAATTACAGGCACATATAGCGTCTTGCGTGGGTTGTTTATTTTAATTCCCGACCTGCGCCTCATTTCATTGCATGGCAACAGCTCTCAGTAGATACTTCAGATCTGGGTGAAACAAATACTTTCGCATTTTCAAGGTGGACGTTTTCTGTAGCCTAATATATGAAAAATATAGAAAGATAACAGGGGAAACAGGTGTCTCCTCATTCCATTTTTGAGCACAACCTGTTTACTAGTTGGAGGAAAGTAAAACTGCTTACAAAGCAAGTGAGATGCATTTTTAGCCAATTTTGTGCGGGAAAAACTCTTGTCTAGTTGGGGTAACCTCTAAATAGCAGCCACTTTGAAGTTTGCACTGGGTGTGAGGAAGGGGGTGATAGATGAGTGAAAGTGGGAGAGAAAAATTGAGAAAAGTTGAGAGAGGAGGTGAGGTTACTCCTCAGGGGGCTGCAGTGTGTGTGTGTGTGTGTGTGTCTTTCACCATCTGCTGCAGTGTTATAAAAAGTGGCCTAATGAAAGCAGGGCAGGATTTTGCATGGAAGGTTGGCCCATCCTTGCTGGCAACCCAACACGAGGCAACGACCAGCTGGGATGGACCCAACTTAACTTGCTGAGGATACAGAACTTTTTGGGATATAGAATATTTATAAAATACAATTTGACTTCAAGGCAGAGGGTGTGCACCGTGACAGACTCAAGTC